ACAGCGCTTACAATAATCCTTCACAGAATTTAATATTCCAGGCCAATAACATCTTAAACGAACAGCAGAAAATGTGCGCTCTATCCCTTGATGGCCCAAGTTGTCATGACAACTGAATAACACTTTTTCACGTAATGATCTTGGAAGAATAAGTTGTTTTAAATCCCCTAGTATCGGATCTGTTACCACTCTGTAAAGAATTCCTTTCACAATTACAATTTTATCCCACTGTCTTACTAATGTAATCACAGATCTTGGTAATTTTCTGATTTCTGTTTTTGTTGGTTTAGATCCTTTATTGAAAATCTTCAGAAATGTTGCCAAGTCTGAATCAGCTGACTGAAGAGACTGTATTTCATCTGGTTTAAGAGATGGAAAAGTGTTGTAAACTTCATTCACAATTACACTTGAAATACTTTGTTTCTGTAGATCCGAGGGTAGTTTCGTAGAATCTGAGACCTTCTCTAGTAGAATCTCTAAATCACTTTGCCGCGATGAATCATCAGGATCACTGATACGTGAAAGAGCATCTGCGTTTTCGTTATGGCGGCCTGGTCGGAATTTCACATCAAAGTTAAACATAGCCAATTTTGAAATCCAGCGTTGTTCAATTGCACTGAGTTTTGATGTGTTAAGATGACACAACGGGTTGTTATCAGTGAACACTGTGAATTTTGATCCCAATAAGTAATCTTTGAATTTTTCTGTTATTGCCCAGGTTAATGATAGTAATTCCAGTTTTCGAGAACTATAATTTTGCATGTTCCTTTCACTTGGTCTCAAGGATCTGCTAGCATAGGCGATGACATGTTGTTTTCCGTCTTTGATTTGCGATAGAATGGCTCCTAATCCTAACATACTAGCGTCTGTTTCAAGAATAAACGGCTTTTGGAAATCTGCATAAGCTAAGATAGGAGAACTCACAAGAAGCTTTTTCAATGTTGTAAACGCATCGTCACACTGAGAATTCCATTTCCAAACGGTTTCCTTGGATAAGGTGTAAACTGCTGGGACAACTTGTGTAATGGCGATGCTATATTACTAAATCCTTTCACAAAACGTCTATAGTACCCTGCTAATCCAAGAAACAAGGACCAACCTAGGGGGCGACTGAGGCGAAAAAGTCGCTTTTGAGCTCCAAACTTCGCCGTAATTTATCATGAAAGCGAAGTTTTAGTCGCCTTAACATTTGCAATTCCTTTATTGAAAATCATAAAAAATCTATTAAGAAACGTGGTAGAATCGTCAGTATTGTATAAATCTGGTTTTATTACTGATGAAATAAGCGAAACAGCAGGACACTTGCACCTGTTTCGCTACTAATGACCAAGTCATCGAATACTCTGTCGGAACTCCTCTAGATTTTACGCTTCCATGTATGTAAAAGTCCATTGTAGACAACAAGATGCAAAACAGCTGGACAGCTATCGATGTCATGCCAAAGATGTTGGAGATGATTTTAGATCTTTTTGAATTAATGCTGTGAATACAGACATATTTTTACTGTTATATTTTGGGGTTATTAACTAGGCCTATCTAAGAAATTACACGTCTAATACACACAGTCAAGTAGTCATGCAGGACTACATGTAGTAGTGCATGAAAACTTTTTAAGAAAAAGAATTGAAGATTGGAAATGAATTTTGAAGTGAAAATTAAAAAATATTACGACTATGCAAAGAGCCTGAAAATCTAAAATAACAAGAGAGAATTTTAAAGTTAATTGTGCATACTAATGTCTATGCAAGAAATGAAAAGAAAGATAAACAAGTTTATCAAAAAGAAATTTATGTACAGTCATGATATTTTTAATTTTTTGGGTCAGATAATTTTATACTTTGTAATTGGAAAAATATAAAAAAAAAATATTTTTAAAGAATTTTTTTCTCTTTTTTATTATTGTTAGTAAATGTTAAAACAGAAAAATTATTGAAATATATTTATAAATCAGTTATAAACAATGAAGTAATTTAAATTTTAAAAAGTTAAATAATGATTAATGAGTGCGACGCGCGCCAAGAAGTCTCCCTAAATTTCAAAACTTCTCCCTAAATTTCTCTGAGGGAGAAGTGAAGTCTCCCTAAATTTTTGGTCTAGGTTGGTCCCTGAAGAAATGACTTGAGTTTTTTCACAGTTGTCGGTTTTTCAAAATTTTGCACAGCACTTATTTTTTCTGGGTCAGTTTTGATTCCCTCGGAGGATATAACATGTCCGAAATAACGAACTTCACTTTGAAAAAAATTGCACTTTGACATTTTCAACTTTAATCCATGTTTCCGGATGATTCTAAACACTGTCTCTTATCGCTTCAAATGTTCTGGAATGTCTTCTGAATAAACGATAATATCATCCAAAAACACAAGTAAAATGTTAAATATCTCATCCCTGAAGCAGTGTTGCATTAACCTCTGAAACGTCGCAGGGGCGTTGCACAAACCAAACGGCATACGAAGATATTCATACAGACCCATTGGCGTTGTGAATGCCGTTTTTTCGATATCATCTTCATGGACAGCTACTTGGTTATAGCCACAGGTAAGATCCATTGTCGAGAAAAATTCTGCACCGCATAGAGCATCAAATGATTCTTCTACTCTGGGTAGTGGATAGGCATCTTTGTGAGTTTTGCTGTTAAGTTTACGGTAGTCCACACATAAGCGGAGCGAATTATCTTTCTTTCTGACTAACACAATAGGAGATGCGTATGGACTAGTACTCTCCCTTATAATATTGTTGTTCAACAATTTACGAATATGTGATTTCACTTCCTCATATTGTGATGGGGGTATTCGTCTGTAAGGTTGCACTATAGGCTGATCGTCTGTTGTCCGAATAGTATGTTTTATGGCTGTAGTATATCCTATATCGTCATTATTTTGAGAGAATACATCTTGATTTCGGTAGAAAAGAGTGCGAATTTCTTTCATCTGTGCAGGATCTAAATTCAACTTTTCTATTTCCGGTGGAATTTTGAAATCACTTGTCACTTCCTCTGAATTTGTGGTTTCACTGCACATAAATTCTTGTTGAACAAAAATCTCTTCAGTATTTCCTTTTCTAGTGAATTTGATGTTAGATGAATTTTCAAGTACATCGCCATTGACAAGGACGGCAACTCTTGTTCTGGGTGCTAACCACACATCGTCAGTACCAATATTTGCGATACGAAAACATAGAAATCCACGGTTCACTTTACTAAGAGTCCAGACAACGATAATGTTTGATGACAAATGTTGAGTAGATGTTAACGGTTCTACCATGGCTTCATACAGTCTTGGCATCTTTGGTGCTGCACCATTGATAACAGTAACAGATTTTCCCGGAATGCGTACTGGAGACTTTGCACAGACTTTAACATATCCTATGACATCACGTTTAAGATTTTGTCACATGCTTTGAATTGTTCTTTTAATTTGTAATTTGCTGAAATTTCTTCAACTTTTTCTGTGTACTCTGCTCCGTGTTGCGTTTCTAATAGATTCTTACACAGTGAAATCGTGTTCATTCCTAAAATGGCCGGAATGTTTTCTTTGCGCTGACATGTTTCAAAATCAACAGAATTTTTCACAACTAACACACCCACTTGCTGTAACTGTTGACCCATGACCTCAATGTTGACGTCGATGTATCCAATAAACGGTATGGAAAGTCCGTTAGATGCTTTCAAAGAAAACACAATGTATTTAATTTCGTTGCTGACTTCAGATGTTTCTCATGAAATGATTCTGTCACTGTAGAAACTGATGATCCAGTATCAACTAAACAATTAACACTAACACCATTCATTGCCACAAATACTGAAGGACATTTACCAACTAAACGTGTGTTCATTTTCCATGAGTCCGTTTCACTCCCCTCTATAACGGGACTCTGCATTACGAAGGGCTTTTGTTTTCCTGTTCAGAATTTGTAGAATCCGGTTTTGTTGGGCATTCATTAGCTTTGTGTCCCTGCTTTTTGCATCGGTAACATGTCAGCATGGTAAGTGGTCGATCATAATAATACCAGTTGTTGTCGTAGTATTTTTGTTTGGAATTGACAGCTTTTGTTAAATTTTCTATCTGACACGATTGTTTCTTCAATGCGTCGGTAAGTTGTTTTATTTTCTTTTCACTTTCACTTTCCGTTTGCTTCGGTATTTTTTCTGTCGATACTTCAGTTTTCTTTTCACTATCAGACTCACGGTTTTGTTCAGTTGATTTCTTCTCCAGTGATTCTTGTAACGAGACTTCGCCATGTTCATCTTCTTCTGACCAGAGTATAGCCTCTTCTCTAAGTTCCCTAAACGTGATATCCGGTTGCGTGCGCAGAATACGTTTTAGATGTTTCCGTAGATACTGGTCTCTGACATTTTCTGAAAAATGTTCACACAATGTTCTATCTTGGTACCCGAAAACTGACGAGTCTTTCCGAGTAATTCTTCTAATGATATCCATCAGACCGTAAGAATATTGACGCAGTGTCATTATCATTATCAGTTTCATTCTGTTTTCTGTCAAGAAATTTCTTCTGTAATTTAATAGCACTGTCTCTATCACCGAATACATCCCGCAAAATTTTAACCATATGTAGAGGATCTTATCGTACATCACCTGACAAATACTTGATTTCGTCTCGCGCATTTCCAGATAGATTTTGGTAAATTAGATCCGCCCCTTCTTCTTTTGTCATACCACGTGCTGCATATTGAACATTTTCTATCCAGTCCTCTATATCCATGTTATTGCCGGTGAATTTCGGAACAGTGCGATCTCGCTGCACATAAACAGTTTTTGGTTCTTTTGGTTCGTAATTTGTTTTCCAGCCCATTTCGCTAAGTTGATTCTGCAGACCTTTGATTTCTTTCTGTAACGATTTTACAGTTGGATGACTCGCCATTGTAACAGCCGAAAATGGTATTCATTATCAGTACGGGTAGTTTACGCTCGAGTAAACATTCCTTTCCCACGATGTTTCATTGATGTAATGGAATTTGAAGTTCTACTCACGTCGTTGGAATTTTACATGAAATTCTCCGTTGTCACCACTAGCCATTGCTTTAGTTCCCGGCGACGCCAAATGTAACCAAGCGGGGATGAAGAACGCAGGTTCAGTTTAATAAATTTATTAGGAATGAAAAAGCAATGGCAGAACTACAAATACAAAAACATATATACAATATCATAATACACATAGACACTGAGACAAAATACTTTTATTTCATATTCACTTCAAAAATAAGAAAATTTAAGTTCATTAAGCCAAAAACGTCAATTTCATAGTTTAAAATACCTTTCTCTCAAAAATATGAAAAACACTTGAGCTTATAACTTGGACTTAATAAATAAAATACAAAAATTTAATAAACTAGGAAAATTACCTTTCAAGTGGTGACAACGGGCAGCTGGTAATAAGTAAGTTAAATTGCCCGCACTGACAGGGATGGGCCCATGCCTCAGTATATATAGCAGAAAAACCGGTTAAACAAGGGGGTACAAATTTACTGGCCAATGAGATTCTGTGAGTAGAATTCATGAATGGAGACTACTACCAAATATGGCATATAGTAAATTATGGCTCAGTAAGTTATTCAATAAAGATAAAAAATTTATTTTAAATAAATATGACTCCGCCACATTGATATCGCTGATGGAGAGGTACGGAGCACGACAAAAAAATTGAAGCAAAAGCATGCGGAATCCAAAATTTAACTCATTTATTTTCTATAATTCGCAATATTTTTCGAGGATTTTCTCAAATGTATCTTTAAATTGTTCTATTATTAAGTATTTGGATTTCTGACCTGATATTTGAAGTACTAACAGAAATATAGTGATTTTCCTCTGATGCGATTCCCGTGAAAACGACTGTGAAAATGACGTCTCCTGAATTGACGGCGCACCACACTTTAGTTAAATTTTGTGTAATGCTCGAGATATCGCCAACATAGATCCAAAATATGCATAATGAAATGTATAGTAAACTAGGGTATTCGTGACATTCGTCCACAAATAGCAAATAGTACATGTAATTTAAGACCATTAGACCCCTGTAAAATGGCTACACGTGAGGACGGAAAGAAGATTATCAACGAAAACTTTATCCAGACTGTAAATAACGTGACTGAGAGTCACCAATATCACTCTATAGCTATATCTCATAAATACCTGCAGTTTTTGGTTTTTAAAACAAAAAAAAGAATATTCTTTACTTGTTTAATAGATTTAAAGCTTGACAAGAAATGGTGTTTGGATGTTAAGTAGATTAGATAACTCAAACTGTACAAGTAGTCTTGGGAAAATGTTGAGAAAATGAAAGCTCAATCACCAATTTTCTATAATGTCTGTGACGTCAAAGGTTTTGCTGCTCCGTGTCTTAATGATATGTCCTGAAAAATCACTCAAAATTGATAACAATTTATAACATTTTGATATGAAATTTTGTAAGTAAAGATTCTTTTATATTATGTGCGACATTTTGCCCGATTATGTCGATAAATATTTTTTCTGTGCAACAAGTCCGCGTAATTTTTGAACGGCCCTCGTATATACGAGGGACGTTCGATAAATAATGTCATTTACTCGATGACATACATTATAGAAATCATATGACAATAAGCTAGACTTCTTATTTTTGAATCTTTAATGAATTGATAACAGTTTCTGTGACCACTTTTCATCACATAGTTTAATCGTGAGAAGCTGGGAAACAAGGGCTACTCGAGACACTGCATTATAAATAAATGGTAAAGAATCAGTAAACTAGAGTGAAAATAAAAGCTTCATTAAAGCTGCTGTAAAACGTGTTAAAAATCCCAAAGAAATTTTCACTGAAATATGTGACATTTACAGCAACCAATGCCTGTTTTATAGACAAATGAGCAGGTGGATTTAAATGATAAAAAATTATATAATGGGCATCAAAAAAGGGTACCGTCCTTGCCAACAAAAATTATAGTAACTTATGTGCTATTTGCCCAATTTCAAAAAAATAATATCTGATGATGTATGACTGACTTTAAGACAGATAGGAAATTTGATTTACATCATATCGGGAGTAGTTTATAATGTTTTTAAGAAACGTTTGACGGTAAAAAAGCTTGGTACTCAAAGATCACCCTATATTTTGAAAAATGAGTGAAAGCGACAGCGTGTAGGAATGTCTTAACAATTATTTTAAAATATCAGTAACTGTAGTTAGTTTGTGTCATATTCAAACAGATGAGGGAACATGAATCTATTGCTTAAAACACTTAACACAAAATTTACCATAAGATGTACTTGATAAGAACAGCAATGGTCCGACAAGAGCAAAGGTGTGCAAAGACAGATTTATATGCAATTTTCTTAAATATTAGTGGTACTGTTGTTCAATTTCGTATTCGGGGAGACAGTTTAATTTTTGGAGGAGTCTAGAAAACATTCTTTTTGCAAAAAAACCGAAAGGTTTATTAGAGGAAAATCCTAGAATCAGGAATCCACTACATTAAATTTCTTGATGACAGCGTCCAAACCCTGCACCCCTGAAGAGTAAAGAGGTTTTCGGGATAAAAAGAAAGTTAAGGAGGCTGGTGGGTCAACAATTTAATCCCAAATTAACCACCAGATTTAAATTATTTTTTTACATACCGTATCTTTAGCTGGCAACTATCATTTGGCAAAGAAAAAAAATCATATATACTGAAAGGAAAAAGAAACGCAGGGTAGCATAATTTTCGATAAAAATTTGACCACATGACCGAAAATTACGAATATTGGTCAGAAGGGAAATTTAGGTGCTGTGCATCAAAATCAGTATTCAGAATTACTCAACCGTAAAATTTATGACGTCACGTAGGGATAACGCTAAAAAGCTCAAAACACGTGCAATTTGATAACGACGAGTTTTTTAACAAATCTTGTTGCATTATTTGATGCATACGAGGTATGCACATCGTTTTTCAATATTAAGAGACATTATGAATTTATTGCCATCTTGGCACAGTTTACGAAAGTTAAATGGGGTCTTGTTTTCGAATTGCCTAATTAATGAAAAAGGCAACAACGGTTTATTAAGCAGTCTCTTGTAAATTTTCCCCCATAAAAAGTTTAAGCCGTTGTCAGAGAGGGTCTGGAGTGGTTTTCAATCAACCGTGACGATAACGGTAACGCGAAACAGAGTCATGTTACGAGCGGGTTATTCGTCCTGCCATCTCTTAAATCGCCACCTTACTACCACAAAAACAGCCATTCATAGAGTAGACGATTATAATCATCACATTCATACGAAATTTTAAAGAAAACAATTCTGCAATTTGGTTTTTTGAGCCAGTCAACTTACGGTTGTATTCCTCTCACTGGCGCATGCGCGCGCCGCTTGACTTATTTTTTGCGTTGTTACCCACGCTAAATATAGCCAGGATTTGAAAATTAAACACTCTGATGAAATTCCGTGCAAAGGAGAAATAAGGCTTTGACAAATGCACGAGATAGACATTGAAGATAATGAGAGTTTTCGATTTTCACTTTTGGGGGGTATCGTTATTTGAGCTTCAATAACTTAGGAATAATTAGACAAAATCTTATGAGAATTTGGTTATATCTTTTTGAAAGATGGTTTTAAAAGGTAGATAAGAAAACTAATAAGTATTTTAAGAAAAACAAATTTAATTCACCTCAAAAGTTCACCCTGCGTTTCTTTTTCCTTTCAGTATATTTTAGTTTTAAAATTTGATCACTTTGTATATCTTTATATGGAGCTCTCCTTTTAAAGGAGATAGAAATAGTCTAAAAATGACTGCCACCCCCTAGCCTCGTTAATATTTGTTCACATTAACAATATTCGCTATATCTTTTACCTTTTGACTTGTTTCTATTTCCTTACTTGAAAAACCACATTTCAGAAAGATAAAAACATTGGATCTGCTTTTTTCCAGTATACTAAGGGTCATACCCAAAAATGTTTTCTAAATACAATCAGAAATTAAATAGAAACTTTAACGGACATCTATTTTAATCAAAAGAGATCAATAAGTCAAATCATGAAGACTAAATCATTAAAAAGCGTCTTTTGCTTTTTTCCGAGCCCCGATGACATTATTTATTGAACGTCCCTCGTATATGAATATATAAAGTTATTTATCTTAAGTCATGAAGGATAAGGAAAAATATTTTTTTTCATTTCTCTAATATTCCGAAGTTGCAATCTGCAAATTCAACACATTTGCATCTTGATAGACAAAGCATCTTTATATATAAAGACAAAGCAACTATAATTAAAAAAAAAACTGACAAAGTAAAAAAAAAAATAAAACAAATAAAGCTATGAATGAAAAATATTTTTTTGATAATATCAAGTATTAACAACGTAATTATTATCAACATTATTATCAAGCTGATATGCATAAACTCAAATGATTCTCAAGATATCAAACATGGAAACAAAAGTGTTACAGACAGACCAAAATTTACATCCCCCACTTTCAGTGAAATCGGTGGACTAATTTAAATTGAATGAACAAGATCTGTTTGTGAAACACTTGTGCTATCATTTAGAGACATCACAGATCACTTTTTAATTTCATCATTTCATGCTAAAGAAGTAATTAAGGGCTTTATTGTAGATTTGCAAATAAGATGTTTCAGGGTTTTAAATTTACTATCAATGAATACAAAGTAGCATTGTATGAACATCTGGTAAAATAAGAAATGTCAGTACTAAGCGATTTTAGTTCTTTGAATATAAATAGAATATAAAGATTTTAGTTAAAATAGTTGTGATTTCCAGAAAATAAATCGCAGTGTACACATACCATTAATATTATTTTTTTGTTAGTTTGTTTTTTATTAATATTCACTAATAATGCATTTAATTTTTTTTTAATTTAGTAAATACGTGTATTTCTTAAATGAAATCAGTAAATACGTGTATTCCCTAAGCGGAATAGGAATTTCGTCTATTTCAAATACAGGAAATGCATAAATTTCCTTAAAATCCTGATTACACATATTTACAGTAACAAATACACCAAATGGTGTCACCGACCACCTTTGCATCGCATTGCACAAGTAAAAAGTTGATTTCCATGGTCTTTATAGTATTAATAGACAGAGGCTTTAAGATCTGTGACATCGTTTTGATAAGCACTATTCGCTGACCACTCACTCACTGAATTACGCACTAAAGAACAAGATAAACACAATGCACATAAATCCAATCCAATATTATTTTTAAAGTTTCACTAGAAAATATATCTATGTAGTTTATTGTCCACACAAAACAAAAAGAAATTGAAAAGATGAAATTCAATCCAAACCACATAGAATTTGAAAAGATGAAATTCAATCCATAGAATTTGATAAAAATACAGAGCTCGAAAGGTAACGTTGATACCATTAAGTCCGTCTCTTGATTCTCTTTTTCTGAAAATAAATTAATGCTCTGAAATCTGCTGTTTTGTATTAATTAATTAACCATTTATAATGAAATATAATTTATGATAAAATTTACAAAATGTTTAAATATGTGGCCCTAGGATCAGTGGTTCATTTGGGGTGGGGAGCACAACTGGTTATAAAGTTAAATGCATTTTCTATTTGTAACTCTGATCTACCTCTGGGTGTTAAGTAACCAGCGTAAGCAAACTAAGTATATAAATATGATAAGCAATTGTGCCTTTTTCAAAATTGTGAATTTCATGGCCTCTGGTTTAAAACACGAACCAAATTGTTGGAAAAATGTTACATAATACTTAGGTGACCTATAAAGCCATTGAGTCTCTTGTTTTTCACCTGAACTGAGTAAATATGTCAGAGGGTGTTGTTTTCTAAATAAGGTATACATATTACATCTTTAAAAAAAATACTACAATTTTTATATTATATTTTGTTTAACGAATCAAGAATCAATTCAAAAGTTAAAGGTTAAAAAAAAAGCAAAGGAAATTCGGAAAGTAAGTTTTAAAATTCTTGAATTTTTTATTTAATTTTCCATTGAAGGTATTATTTAAAGTTTGTTCTCATAATGTTTGAATAAATAAAATGATAATTGATTACTTTTGATTGATTTTAATAGCCTTAAAATTGCCAATATATGTACTTCGGGGTAATTTTTAAAAAATAGACCAGAGGAAATTCGGATTAGCATAACTTTTTATTTGACTTATAACTTTACCAATTACCCTAGCTATGTATCTCTTATTCAAAATAAGGTTTTGAAAATAAATATCCAATTACTTTTAGTGTGATTTTACAACCACTTATCAAGATTAAGAAAAAAACTTTTAATAACCTTAACTCATTTGCGATTGTGCAACTCCTATTTTACTTTTTGTTCTGACACTTATTTAGGGTCTTTCAGTGCAAAATATGACCATATGTGAGGCAGGGGTATCATTTAGTGAGCTTATTTCTCACAGTATCTCGTTATACTATGGATTCACAATTTAGTACAGAAACAAGTGCCTGTGATGTGACCGTACAAATCGAGATCTAGGTACTGGTACGAAAAAGATCCCTTACTGCTCAATGGCTCTACATGCCAAGTATAGGACAAATTTTCAATTCTCCACCGGCAAGTAGTGGCGTCTCCATACAGGGCCGTAGGAAGCTATTTCAGTTGGGGGGATCCATATATTTTTAGTTGATGGGGTACTACCAACAGAAAATTCCGTGACAAGAAAAGGGTCATCAGACGTTTTTATTGAGGGACACAAGCAAATTTAATAGAAATGTTCTTATAGTAATCTATTATATATATAGGCCTAATTAGTAGATTGGGGGCGTCCCCTGGTTCCTACTGCCATGCCATATAAGTGAAAAATTCTCGAGAGGAACGTTAAACAATATACATACAAACAGACTTACATAGTACTCGTGACAGTAGACGCAAGCAATCATGAAAACACCAACCAAAACTAAAATTCCCGATACGGCCCAATGTACGCGTCCTAAACTGAAAAACAAATAATTAATATTAATTCAACTGACTTCAATTACAATTTAGTTATCTAAATCGTAAGTTAAAAGACTAAGTATTGAAGTCTGCAGTTTGATTTCACTTGAGACCAAAGTTTATTTGCTCTCTCTAGCTCGCCCCAGAAAGTATAGCAATACTACAGACCCTCCTCGGGGGGGGGGGGGGCATAGGAACCCCCAAAATACGACACATTGCTCGATTCATTTCTATCGTATTTGTCATTATAGCAGGTTGTTGGCACTACAAAGAAGGACCTCCATGATAAATTTGCAATAAGAGCATTACATGTATATATACCTTTGTTTTTGCTCCATGTTACTTTCATATTTCTCATTTGAAAAAAGATATTTTAAATTCAATCTAATGTTTTTTTCTTCATAATTTAAACTGAAAACAAGTAGATTAATTTTATTGATTTTTTTTCATCACATTTAACTACGGAAGCCCTGGAGGGACATTGACTTACTTGTTATGACTTATTTGTTATAACTTTTTTTTTTGACTTATTTGTTTTGAGATTTTTTTTTGTTAGTTCTAACTGAGCGTAGGTAAGCTATTTAGAACAATTAATTGTAGTTTTGTAGTTAAACGTACAAAACTGATGTGATTACTAAATTTTTATCTGTTAATTAGGAACTCCCCTTGAGGGATATTGACTTATTTCTTATGTGTTTTGACTTAGTCTTTATGTGTTTTGACTTATATCTTATGTGTTTTGACTTAGTTCTTATGACTTAACTTTGAATTCTTGTTATTTTGAATTTGTTATGACAATTGTAGTTTACAAAAAGTGGCGTGAAAGATGAAGGCAACGTATAGTTTCAGAAAAAAGAAAAAAAAATGTCCTTGAATTTATTACTAACGACAAGATAAAATAGTAGTGACTGTCAGTTTGTCAATCATTACGCAAACTGGAAGTTACAGATAAGAATTACGTAATAACTTTTTGAAAATAAGAATTAAGTTGTAACAACAAAAATAATATTTTCTTTAGAAATCACAACTGTACTGGACAATTTGTTAATCAAAAACCACAGTTAAAATAGGACTAAATACTAGAATCATTTTTATCATAAAAGTAAGCCAAGCAACAGGTTTTCAATAGCTTTCTTACACTTTGTTATAACTAGCTATGAAACATTCACAACAAATAAGTCAAAACAAAAAAGTTATAACAAGTAAGTAATAACAAGTAAGTCAATGTCCCTCCAGGGCTTCCGTATTTAACAGAAAAATACGAGATAGTCTTAAAAAGAAATTATGTGAATGCAGTCTGAGCTAATGTGAATGCAGTTTGAGCTTAACTGAAAATTATTTCTAATTCTGGATAATGGTAACCTACAATCTCCCTTTGACCTAAAGCTGGAACGTCTCTTCCAATATGAGGCCCCGTAAACTGATCCTGCCAATATATCTGTTTTAACATCGCTTCTCGTGTAAAGCTTGTTTCCTGAAAATTTGGAATGGTATCTTCTTTGAGAAGCCCAAGCTTCAGACGAGCCTACCACTAAAAAAAGAAGATATATTCATGCACAGGAGTTCGCGTACCTACCAATTTTACCGAAAATTTCAGTAAATTAAAAAACGTATTGTTATTGGTTCCCCCGGTATAACGTATTTTATTATTAATTTACTGAAAATTTCAGTAAAATTGATAAGTACACCAACTCCTGTGGTTTATGGTTTAAAAACACCGAGGCCCCCGAATGGCAGGCAAAAGTTTCTTAAATGCAAATTAAACGCCAAGGTCAGGAGATCAAAAATATTCGTTACCCCAAGAAATATGTTATAATATACTCAATTCTATATCACTCAAGTTAACTGTTGAATTCACGCTACGGCGTGATCCGACTTTTCTATCCTATCCTGAATCCTATTTTGTATTATTTGATGGACTTTTGGGCTTGTTCATCATCTCCATTTTTCATCCATATCACGCTTCTCTGAAACTGATGACATACTACAGAGTTTACATGCCGTCTTTGTTTTACGAATTGAAGATTGATTGATTGAATGTTGTTTAACGAATTTTTCGCTCATAAGGAGACGCCACTACTTGCTGGTGGAGATCTACAAATTTTGCCCTATATTCCGCACTTGTAATCTTTGAGCATTGAGGGTTTTTTTTCGTGACAGCACCTACATGTACTGCAACATGGGAACTCGGTTTATGAACTGTCTCATCCGAAGGACCAGTGTCCACGTCCGACAATGAGATTCGAACCCGGGACGTAAGGATCAACTCATTACCTCTCTCTATGTCTACATGTAACTACGGGACCACGCGACTTTTTAAAGATAAAAAATTGGTCCCACAGTTTTCTTTTTTTTAATCAGTATTCATTTTTTATGTATTTTTCTTATTTTTGAACGGTACTAGAAATTAATAAAACCTAAGATTTAAGTTTTTTTTAAATTTTGGTCAAACTCTAAGGTCAAAGGGTCAAATTAAAGAAGTGGAAGGTCTTGTCGTAAGGAATACACACAAATTATGGCCAAGATTAAAGTTCTTCAAAAGTAGGTCAATATCCAAGGTGAAAAGGACAAAATGTCGGTATATTATTATAGAGTAAAATTGAACTGTTCGTAAATTACATGTATGCCCATGACGAAAGTTTCTTAAAAGCAGAAAACACTCAAAGTTTAAGGTCAAAAATATTTACATCCATGTAAATGCCTTATCATCGTAAAAAAGCATGTAAAGTGTGCACCAACGATTAAAAAAATGGCCAAATTTAAAATTTTGAAAAAATTCTTGCAAAAGTGGGTCAAACTCCAGGGTCAAGGTCAATCGCATTGGTATTTAAAGAAAGGCTTTGTTGTAAGAAATACACGTGTGAAAATGAAAGTCATAGGTCGAATTCTAAAGTTATGGGAAGACAGCTAGACGACGGACTGACATACTCCCGAGTCTATGATTGCGGGGTGAGGCATAAAAATAAAGTATTGATGGAACAAGATTACGTTCCCTCTATGAATTCCTTTTCTAATTAATTAAAAGAGCAGAAGATAATTTCGAGTAAACGAAGGAAACGAACAGTATTTAAACCCAATGCCCATGAAAACAGAAGAATTCAGGAACAGACAAATGAGGACCTCCAGAAACATGAGGGGCAGGATCAGGTGCCATGAAGGAGTAAACATTTCCTGTTATGTTCTCTTTCTCATGATCGGATAAAAAAGAAAAAAAAATAATGATCTCGAGTTATATACCAAAGAGCTGTATGGAATCGAATAATGCACGACTTATCCGATGTCAATATTGAACATTAATTTAATAAATTCAAGTTAAATTGAAGCAAAACAATACAATAACTGCAAAAAGGTATTCATTATTTAGCATTTTGAAGATTTTAAATAAGAAAGATTCCAAAGAAGAAAAAAAAAAACAGAAAAATATATGCTTCATTTTCAGTGACGTAGCATCGTTACAACAAACATTAATATTGAGTATTCATTTTTTTTCCAGAACTTTCATAATCGTAACCTTTGAGGAGGATGTTTTCAATAGGTTTAAAACATTGAAAAATAAACATCTCATTTCAAAACATATAAACAAATATTCTAGAGCAATAAACATGAACCGAAAATCAGTGAGAACCCTTACCTGACTGACATAAAAATCAATATGTACTTACAAAGCACACTGACCGCAAATTGTTTACCCGCTAGCTAGCCTCCTTAATGCAAATACAGAACAGACATAAGAATTAAACATCAATACTCTGATTAAGTATTACAATGCATAAAATGTGCATTTTAATTTGAAAATAATTCTTTAGGTCCTAATACGTTTTACTTACTCATCCCAGAATGTACAGCAGTACTGTTGCCCCTCTTCACCGCAGCAGTAGGTGTGGTCATTACCCATAGTGTCGTCTGTCGGGCAAATAAACCGTCCCACATATGATACATTGGTCAAATTATTTTTATCATATTTGTCATTGTAGCAGACTTCTGGCACTAAACAGAAAGATTTTGTTGTTGATTCCATTGTTCAATTTAAAGAAAAAAAGAAGAAAAATTACAGAAAATAATACTCTTAATAAAAGGGAATAATTATTAGCGAAAGAAATTTATATGTAAGTTTAGTAAAAGTCTTCATAGATCTACGATTATGATTGAGTTGAAAACACTAGAATCATTATCTGCGTAAAATTTATTCACAAATCTCTTAAAATTGTTTCTGATTCTGGACTATAAACCTAGTAACTTACAATCCCCCTTTGACCTGAAACTGAAACGTCTCTGCCAGTATGAGGCCCCGTAAACTGAACCTGCTAATATAGCTGCCTTAACATCGCCTTTCGAGGTAATTTTGTTTCCTGAAAAATGTCTTCCAGAGGAAAATCGCACTCCCCATGTCCCTTTTCCTCCTCCTTTTCCTCCTCCTTTTCCTCCTCCTCTTCCTCCTCCTCCTTTTCCTCCTCTTGCCTCAGTCAATACTAACACTGAAAAATATCCAGGAAAATTAATCAAAAGACAAAAAATAAATAAATAAAATAAAATAAAAAATACTGAACCTAGATAACATCTGTCTTTGATGATGTGATATCCATCTCCAAGTTGTATCAATGAAAGAGGAAAATTTAATAGCAAATACATATTGTCATTATTGTGAGCAATAAGACAAATGCGCTTCTTAACTAATTCTGAAATAACAAAATCTTGAGTATATATGCTTGTATATACAAACAAGCATAAAGGAATCAATCTAACATAAGAAGACGTTGACAAGTTCCCGGCGTCTTTTGGAATACGTTTAACTGTGAGTATTGCAGCTAGATTTTTTTTTTTTACTTCTTTATTAATCTTTGGTAAATTTTAAGATCGGGCTCATTGAGATTTTTTTTTAATGATAGTTGATTGATTTATTCAGTTGATATATACACATGTATAGAGCATTCAAGACACAGCACTGTGTAAAATGACAGATCTGTAGCTCATTTGTCTGGAAAAAAAACAAAAATGGATGGCTGGTCTGAGAACTACAGTTTATATCATTTACTAGCTCTTTTCATGTTATCCGTTCGATGTTTCAGACGAGCTATAGATCTGAGGTATGACAGAGACTAGCATATTTTATTACAAACTGAAAAAAATATGTTTCATTTCTAACTGTATCCATCACCACTAACATACACACACAGACATAGACTTCATCCAGTCTGTTTCATCAGGAGGGTTCACGGTGTCTCAGGAAGTCTGATGTCAATATTGAATACTAGGGACATAAAACTATTTAAGCATAAAAACTTACAAAAAATAAACCCTCGATCAGTGACAAGTCAGTTAGCTGTGTGAACCAATTTCATTTAAACTGACACAGAATGAAATATACTTACTCGTACAAAGCACAATGACCACAAATAGTATGAAAATGTATTTTCCCATGGTCCATTCTTTTTCATTAAATGCGCAATTAACTACAGATCTTTCTCTTATGAAGATAATTTACAAAATAATACTATGGATTTCCCAACTTCTTGAAACGTCAGATAAAGTATGAATGGAGGCTTCATGAATAATAATAGCATAACTTTTTATTAACATAAACTCCCGAGGCATTTTTTTTCTTAATGTTTAAATCATAAAGAATCATGTAAACTGCAGGCTATCAAAATAAGGAGCGGATCAAATATATGAAAGTGGGACCTCAGTTTATACGGTCTCTTCCGAAGAACCATTCTCCACGTCCCGCCGTGGGATTCGAACCGCTGACGTTACATTACTTATTATATTCCTACAGATGAATTAGCTACACGGCTTAAAACTAAGGCGTTTGGGAAAGAACACTCAAATTTTGCTATTACAAAAAGAATATATTTATATACATATTAACGTTTGACACAAAATTGGCTCCTTGGTTAAAATAAAATTTTAAACACTTTATTGCAAATATGGAGGACACCACGAACATATTCCAAAAGATAAATTGACTACTATGTAGATTGTGGGAGGAATTTACGAACTAGGTTTTCATAGAAAACGTCGATTTTCGAACACCCCCATTGGTCATCCGGGAGAAAAATGAAAATCCCATCTTTATTGCACATTATACCCGTTTTGATTTGAAGTGAAATGTTATTATTAAACTTTTTCGAGAAGCGCTGATTTTCACAGTGGACAGCTTACTTTGACATTTGAAAACCTTCATTATGTACGGTGGTACGGAATTGACAATAGGTAAGAAAACCTAAGAAGTGATTATTATAATATATTGTTTTCGAGCGCTAACATGATTTTCTGGTATACAAGAGATGTTTTTGAGGCAGAACATAACTTTAGATAAGGGATAATTATTAATAACTCCTTTTAATCTCATTCTCGGAATAAAAACACAGAGAACGAGTGAAACATAAGCGCTTTCATTTCTTCTTCATGATGTTTTACAATACAAAGCTATATATATATATATATATATGTATTGCAGTAGAGGTTCCGTATATTGCCCTAGTGTAAAAGTTCAACAAAAGCTTTTGTAACTTATATTGAAATGTTACTTGATGTGTTACTCAGCTGGTATATTGCTTATAAATATGAAATATGAAAGCCACAATCCCACCCAGTTAAAGGTTAAAGCTTTTGCAGACAAACAGACCAGCAGACAGACAGACGGTCGAACAGGGCAAAAACTATATACCCCCGAAATTTCGTTTGCGGGGGCATAAAATGTATGCTTCATTTTCAGTGAAGTAACATCGCTAAACCAAACATTAAGACTAAACATGTGGCTTAAAAAAATCTTTTATAATCATACATTTTGAGGTTGTTTTCAATAGGTTTGAAACGTTGAAAAATGTCATCTCATTTCAAAACATATTAAACACAAAAATGCTAGAGTAAAAACAATAAAGCCAACAATTAGAGAGAGCCTTAACCTGTACATTTCAATTTTATCTAGCTAGCATAGAATTCAATACTTACACAAGCACAATAACCGCAAATCCAGTTACAATATATTTTGCAATCGCTTCTTCTTTTTCGTTAAACTTGCGCAATTAACCCTATCTTCCAGATCAGTCTTTTATTACGTTTGTTTATCATATTATCAAATGGGAATTTCCAACTTCTAAGAGAACGAAATAAGTATAATGGAATGTCTCATGAATATTAATGATATATTTTACTTTTTTATTAACAGAAACTCCTGAGGCATGTTCTCATGTTAAACGCAACTTATACTCCTAAATCAGTCGTATAAAAATCAGACTTTGAGAGCAATATATCAAGCGGGTCAAACCTCTTACATTTATTAGATTGAATTTTGAAAAACAATTAATTTTTTTTAAGATCACAGACATTTTTGGGAGGAAGAAAGGTTTCCACTAGTCATACAAAACTTCCGATTTCAAACCTCTTACAACAAGCGTATAGATTGCAAGTTCTTACAAGAGGCCTTTAGACTACAACGCTCACCTAAGGACTCATGTGTGCATCTAGAGCCCCCCCCCCCTCCCGGGCTGTATTTTGCAGAGTTATTAAATCTATATACAGTGTGTAATAAACCAATTAAAAGGGACCTCGGACCCCCTCCCCTCAATTTTGATTTCGAATTAAAGCTTCATATCTATGACTTTGCGTCATAGATATGAAGCTTTAATTCGCAATCAATTATATGACCCCCCCCCTTCGCACCTGGGTCTGGTGTACTTCTCCTATCATTTACTTTCCCTTCTTTACTACCATGAAAATATTTGATCCCCATTTTTGTGACCACTCTTTCTCCCCACCTTGTCGTAAAATGCCGTGATTTATCAGACTTGAACAAAGCGATACTTCAATTAAGTATGAATTAAATGGACTTGCATTTTGTTACTATAGACCGTTTCACGGTAACTGCGGTACTGCTCTTTTGCAGGGCGAAATGATATAGTTTGGTGAAATATGACGTAAAGGTAATTGTTAGACATACGCCATTTAATTATCTGTCAACAAAAACTTCACCAAACGGTATTATTTTGCCCTGCAAAAGTGTAGTACCGCAGTTACCGTGAAGGGGCTAATTAGGATCAATCTAAGAAGATTGCAGCAAATACATTATTGATATAAGACAAATGCTGACTGACATTTTTAAAATTACATGTGTAATCATTTGGCCAATTAATTTTAACAGGCTGAAATATCATGACAAGGAGCACACAGTGGGTGTGTCTGGTCTATAGAAGGATTCTCATTCCTCTATGGCACCTGATCCCACCTCTGTTGTTTTGAGAGGTCAGTGTTTGCTCTGCTCCTGGCTTGATTTGTACAGTCTTAATGGACTTTTGAGCTTGATTACCCTTTGTTATCTGCACATTTCATATATTTATGTAGGCCAGTCAGTGCACTTCAACATGAATCTGTTGTTAAGTACTTACTCATTAGTTAATTTTGAAATACCTTAAAAAAATCATTAAGCTTTCATAAACTAAGACTTTTCAAAAGATAAAAACATATAATATTTAGTATTACTTTACTTCTGGTTGCCTTATTATACAAGTATAAAGTAAAAAAAAAACACATTCAAAACGACAAATATGCAACATACGAGTATATGTTATAATTTTTGTTATCTGAACAATTATGCATAAAGTTTAGCTAATATGAAATGTATACAAGTTAGCAATATATACTCACAAACAATAGAAACGCAACACCCTAATTTTAGGGCGACATTATTTACGGGATATAACTATGTACCAAAACCAGAAGTCTCTGTCGAGACTGTAGCTCTACTGGTTTATACTTAAAACACAGGAAGAGAAAAGAAGCAGTTGGGACTTGAAACTTGCTGCTCGTCAACATAAAAACCGATGCACAGAATTATGTATCTTAGTATAGTCTACTTGTGTGCCACGTTATATTGAAATCGGACCAAAACTGTAGGAGGAGTAGCATTTTGAAAGAATTTCACAGAAATTTCTATTCTTAGTAACCATTGCAACACTGTTCATCAAAATCAAAAACTGATGTACAGAATTATGTATCTTAGTGTAGTCTATTTGTGTGCAAAGTTATACTGAAATCGGACCAAAACTGTAGGAGGAGTAGCATTTTGAAAGAATTTCACAGAAATTTCTATTTTTAGTAACCATGGCAACACCGTTCATCGAAATCAATAACCGATGTACAGAATTATGTACCTTAGTGTAGTCTACTTGTGTGCAAAGTTATATTAAAATCGGACCAAAACTGTATAAGGAGTAACATGTAGCAGTAATAATTTTGATAAATATCAGAAAATATGTAACGCAGTGTGGACAGTTAAAATAATTAAAAGGAATTTGGTAAATAAATGTCATTATCAAAAGTGACAAGGTCGGAAAAATTTCTGAAATATGATCGAATCTGCAATATGTTTCATAATCTTAATCATTAATGTTTGATCACAAACGACTTTGTCCTATATCACATAACGGTTTCTAGTCTTTCCATATTCTATGTATTTGCTGACATCAATTAATATCCAAATATGAAACAGATGTGTTAGCCTCTGTATGTCAAAGAAATTAATCGAATCAACTTGATGGATTAAAGTGGGCATTGTTAATCTCTAGAAACGTTATTTCAATTGTATTGTTGTTTCTTCTTTTTTTTTTTTTCTCAATAGTACCGAGGAATCTTTGATGTCCAAATATTATTATGGATTTTTTTTACTTCGGAATCTTTGCTATTTCAAATAGTTCTCAAAGTCTTTTTTGCTTCAAAAGTTCTAGATAATCTTTGTATCTTTCAATATAGTTCTCTTATCCCCGTTCGCTTCAAAGGTTTCTACAGTTGTTGTTTTTTTTTAATATACCGGTAGTCCACCAAATCCCTTTTTACTTCGAACGTTCCTCAGGGTCCTTGGTATTTCAATAATTCTCTAAATCTTTTTTGCTTCAAAAATTTTGTAGAATGTTTGTTGTTTCAATAGTTCTCTAAACCAAAATGCTTCAAAAGTTCCACAGAATGTTTGTTACTTACAATGTTGTTTTTCAATAGTTCTCTAAATCTCCATTTTGCTTTAGAAGTTTTACAGAATTCTTGTTATTCTAATAGCTCTCTAACCATTTTTGCTTTAAATGTTCTACAGTTGACATTTTAATAGTCCTCCAAATCCCCTTTGTTGCAGAAGTTCTACAGGATCCTTGTCAATTTCAAAAGTTCTTTAAATCTTTTTGCTTCAAAACTTCTATAGAATCCTTGATATTTCAATAGGTCTCTAAATCTCTGTTTGCTTCAAAAGTTCCATCCTTGTTACATGTACATCAATAATTCATCCTAAACCTTTTATAGCAATTAATATTTCACTGTATATCACAAATCAGAAGGTTAATTTCTTCTGGAGGAGAAGGAGCATTACCTTAAGGTGGAGGCCACACATTTCTGTTTGGATTTCCACTTTCATCCTTACCAGCAGGATGAGAAGCAGTCATACCAAAATTTTCAGCTGCCCATTGAGAAAGTTTCACGGCACATTGTTCATCAGATAGACCAGCTGAAATAGCAGTGTGTAGTAATTCATGAGGCTCTCTATCTGACCTCCAACAAATGCCGTGCCAGTGGACCATACCTCTGGATCTGGCAAACACTTGCCTCTACCAGTAGGAGTCAACACCAAAGACAGGTCCCATTACATTTTTGAAGTATGACTGAGTTCTGAGATCAAAATAATGTGCAACTAAATGGGCATTTTCCTGAAGAGTTTTGAAAAGGATATTTTTGTCTGTTAAATCTACAGATGAACCAGTTGTTTCTGAAACATACATTGAAAGCAAACGTTTAAGGGGTCCAAAGTGAAATTCTGCACTACTGCCAGTGGTGAAAAATGAGGACAGACCTGCACTTCATTCATTTTATATTGCACTAATTCATGCTCTTAATTCTTTCCGCCTCTGTTCCCAGTATTGAGAAGTCCCCCTTAAATTTTCCCAAAAAATAGAGAATTTTTGGCAAACTGAAGTGTCACCATTTTCAATCAGTTTTTTCAACTCAGTTATTGTAAATTGCTGACTTTGTTCAAGCGCCCTTTTTCTCATTTTCTCATTATCATGTTTTGATTGATTGATTGATTGATTGTATATTGTTTAACGTCCCTCTCGAGAATTTTTCACTCATATGGAGACGCCACCACTTGCCGGTGGAGGGCTACAAATTTTGTCCTATGCTCGGCACTCAGGGCCTTTGAGCAGTGAGGGATCTTTTTCGTGCCAACACCTACTGCGACACGGGGCCTCGGTTTATACGGTCTCATCCGAAGGACCGGTCTCCACGTCATCATGTTTTGAACAACAAATTCAAAGTATGGATGCTTTGCCATCTTCCATCACAGCCCACTGTCCCATAAAAGATAATGTAATAGGCCTATTGACAAAAAAGTCTCCAGAGCCATTAGGAAAAAGAGCAGGAAAGGCAAGGGTAAAAGAATGTTGCGCTGTGGAATGTTGTCTCTTGTATGCCAAGGAACGGTGATGGTTCCCTATCTGTTCATAGTAACTCCCCCATGGTTTTCACCAATTATTTCAGTAACAATTTTCTCAACCTTCTTCTCGTTTGTGTATATTTGAATCTGGTAGTTGAGCACCAGAGTGTGTAAAGCTCTGGGAAACTCCAATATCTGTCTGATCAAGTGATGGACCTTTATCATTTTTGTGGACAGTATTTTTTCTTTGAATTTTTTTTACAATGTCTCTTAATCTTCAGGAATTGATTGCAACCTTTCGTTACTAATAATAATGTCAGAGTACGCAGGATTGTTCTTCTTAAGCCATTTCAAGGACTGTTCAACGCCGGACTCGAAATTTTTTGGAAGTATCATTTTTGCCTTTTAATTGTTTTCTAACTTATATTATTTGTATTTCAGAAGGCAATCTAGGAAAAAACATTTGATGGTTCATTGATTTCTTGGGGGAAAGTGACACAATGACCTGATGATGCGATACCACCATGGTTTAGCATGTAGACATCAATGTATGGAGTAATTCTACTGATTAGTTGTTGTTCTATAATTGTAAAATCTTTAAGTTGCTCGGGTAATCTACCTGGGTCTATGTTGTTTTCTTTTGAGTATATTTTTATATTTTGCTTATCTCTATAACAACGCGTACCAATTTCACTTGTGTCCATTTTCATATCTAGTCTCCTTTCATGACATAATGTACAAAGTTCAAAAGAATATGCCATTTGTTGAAGTTCAAATGCTCTTATTGAATCCAAGGCCTTACCAAAATGTTGGTTGTCTTCAGAAGGAGGATGAGGATGGAGAATTTCATTTTCTTGCATTTTATAAGTACATGTATTTATTTTATTTTGAATTTGCCAATTTAATCTTTGCTTTCTATTTCCTAACTTAAGATATGTTTCGTTTTGTGCTGGCATTTTATATGGCACACTAAATTTTCTGCAGCGTTCTTGTAGTTTTATCTCCTGTTGAGACAAAAAGGCGTGTTTTTCTTTTTTTGTTTTGTTTTTGGGAAAAAGGTGAAGGATTGTGTTAATTTTGTTGAGCATGTCTTTTTCTTGTATTTTGAGTGATTTACAAAATATGAGTTTGATGTCATTTTTTCAAAATGTGTTGCTTCACTTTCAATTTGAGCTGTGTCCATGGGCAGTAATGTTTTGGAAACAGAGCCCTGATTTGTTTCATTAATTCTAACTGGACCTCAAATGGTTGATGGGGATGTATGTTTATTAAAAGAATTTTGAGTTTTCTTGATGTTGAAAAATTTTGGAGCTCTCTGGCAGAACTGAATGACACTGATTGAATTGATTTGTTTTGCTTGCATAATTATGCTCATCAGAAATGTAATTTGCAGTGTTGACTTTTGTTATTTGCTGATCGTGCATCTGGGCATAAGAATGATCATTAATGTTGCTGTTTTGAAAGATTCTTTCTACTTCCCTACTTGCATAAGCATGTTCTGACATTTTTCGGGATTTTAGCCATGCTTGTATTGAAATTTGTTGTATTCTGAAAATTGGAGCATATATCTACTAGTAATTCATATGAATTGTTATTTGATGCTTTTTCATGCTCATAACCCAAAATGCAGTGATGCGGAAAGAGGATCAAACAGAAAGGAAACCGTCAGCTTCAAAACGCTTCCCAAGTCAAACTGAATTTTTTTGTAAACAGAAAACAATAGAACAAATTTTAATATATTCCATCCATGTACACCATTGTAACATTAATTTTGAAAGACTCCTCATTTCATGCTGACAAAAAATATTGTTAAATGTTTAATACAATAGATAGATTTCTGTTGTGAAAAATGTCGACAGGTACCTTGAACAGCATTTGTAGTATTATACACTGGATATAACATATTTCTCAATAAGGAGCCAGTCAATAAAGCATAAACAAAATCTGCATAACTAGTTTTTCTTAATAATACTTACATAGAAACAATACGTTAATATATGTACATAATATCCACTAAATATAAAATTACATGCATCATTAACAATTAATGCTAAAACAGTAACAAATATATGTACACTTCCAATCTGACTTTAACTGAAAAATTGAATTAAAACTATTTATATTATAAACATGACGACGCATAATTTTTTTTTTAAAACAAATTTTTTAAATACTTTTGTAAACTCTTCCCATTTCATTAGACTGGTGCCCTGTCATTGGTTAACAGACACAATTCCTAGCGGCAGCGACTGGAATCAAGGGTAGAGAACCAGTGCTACCCATTTCCTGTGATATTTAAGACAAAAAGCATAGTTTAAATAATTGATTGATTTATGTTTTTTACGTGCCATTCGAGAATTTTTCACTCATATAGGTATGAAGGCCCATTGAGCAGTAAGGGATCTTGCCCTATGCCTCGCACTTAAAGATTACCCACTTTACATTTTCATGCCAACACCTATCGTGGTACAGGGCCTCGGTTTTAAGGCCTTATCCCTATGCCATTCACTCTTATCTAACTGAAAGAGACAAACATGCTTATGAACAACGTTATTGAATGTCATCGTACATGGATTCTATACCAAAGATTTTAAATGTCTGACCTTAGATTTAGCCCCAGCTGATATGAAATAAGAGAGTTATCAAAAATGTTTTCAAAATCTCCAACTAATTATCTGTTGTCATATGAAGGATTACTTAGACTTGCATTTTTTAAAGCAATACATATAACACACACAAGAAAAGATGCAAATCACGAATAGTCCCCAAAGTATTCCAAATACAACTTGATATACTCTCCAGTCACTGAAAAAAAGAAGAAATCAATTAAAGGTCATCTTTAACATAACGTTTGTTTTGGCCCCTCCCTATTCAAAGTAGAAAATATTGGTCGGTATATAGGTAAGTGAAAAATTTCAACATACTTATTGCAATTGACAAGTTTCAAGGGTAAAAAGTAAAATAAAATACCGGTATATTGTGTTTTCTGGAGGTAAAAAAGTTTTGAGTCCGTCTATTTTTAGCCAGTTGGTCGGGAGAGCGCAAACGATTTTTTTTGGAAAATATCCTTACAGGTATTATTAAAACGAGAAGTACTGTGAGCAATGAGCTCACTAAATGATACCCCCGTCTCCCATATGGTTATAATGGCAATTGCAAAGTCCATATTTTGCTGTGGTCAAAACCTAAAATATGTGCCGGATCAAAAAGTAAAATAGAAGGTCTGAATGATAATATGTAACGACTCTGTGAAAGTTTCATTAAATTTCACTCAGTGGCATAAGAGGAGTTGCGGATAAGAGATGGGTACCCAACAGCGTAACTGACTTACGATATAGTATCAACGACATGTACTCATGTATTATGTCGACAAAATAGATTAACAATGATTGGTAGTTTTTGTCATGGCTTTATTGATTAATAGCCAAAGTGAATTATCAATACAATGATGTACTCATGGTATCAAAACAATGATGTACATATGGTATCGATGCAATTATGTACACAAAGTGTATATTGAACGACTGCAACTAAATGGGTACTAAATGATATAGAACGATAGTTCAATGGTATTCAACGATATTCAATGATATGCAACAATATTCAATGATATTCAACGGTATCCAATGATACAACAATATTCAACGGTATTCAATGACATGCAACGATATTCAATGATATTCAACGGTATCCACTGATACAACAATACTCAACGATATTCAATGATATGCAACGATATTCAATGATATGCAATGATATTTAATGGTATCCAATGATACAACAATATTCAAAGATATCCAATGATATTCAATGATACAACGATATTCAATGATATACTGAGCTTCAATGGATGACAGAAGATGGAAAAGAAAGAGTAAAATGCACATGCGTAATCACAATGGGTGTGGCTAAGCAGTTATATACATTTGCATGAGAGTTATCTTTACTGGACCATATCTCTATTTGTCTCCATAACGTGACTTAACTCATATTGAGTTAAGTCTGATTGATAATAATAATGCTAATACAGAACAGACATAACTATTAAACATTAATACTCTGATTAAATATAACAATGCATAAAATGTGCATTTTAATTTGAAAATAATTCTTTCCTGATACGTTTTACTTACTCATCCCAGAATGTACAGCAGTACTGTTGCCCCTCGTCACCGCAGCAGTAAGTGTGGTCATCTCCCATACTGTCGTCTGTCGGGCAAATAAACAGCCCCACATATGACACATTGGTCAAATTATTTTTATCATATTTGTCATTGTAGCAGACTTCTGGCACTAAACAGAAAGATTTTGTTGTTGTTGATTTCATTGTTCAATTTTGAGCCAGAAAAAGAAGAAAAATTACAGAAATATCCTTAAAAGGGAATAATTATTAGCGAAAGAAATTTATATGTAAGTTTAGTAAAAGTCGTAATACATCTACGGCTTCGATTGAGTTGAAAACACTAGAATCATTATCTGCGTAAAATTTATTTACAAATCTCTTAAAATTGTTTCTGATTCTGGACTATAAATCTAGTAACTTACAATCCCCCTTTGACCTAGAGCTAGAACGTATCCGCCAATATGAGGCCCCGTAAACTGAACCAACATCGTTTTTCGAGGTAATTTTGTTTCCTGAAAAATGTCTTCCAAAGGAAAATCTCACTCTCCATCTCACTTTTCCTCCTCTTGCGTCAATCAATACTAACACTGAAAAATATCCAGGAAAATTAATCAAAAAATTAAAAAATAAATAAAACCAGAAGTCTCTGTCGAGACTGTAGCTCTACTGGTTTATACTTAAAACAAAGGAAGAGAAAAATAGCAGTAGGGAGTTGAAACTTTAAAACGTCTAAATAGGAAAATTATCCTTGCCGCTCATCAAAATAAAAACCGATGAAAAGAATTATGAATCTTAGTATAGTCTTCCTGTGTGCTAAGTAATATTGAAATCGGACTAAAATTGTAGGAGGAGTAGCATTTTGAAACAATTTAACAGAAATTTCCATTTTTAGTAACCAAGGAAACACCATTTATCGTAATCAAAAACCGATGCACAGAATTATGTATCTCAGTGTAGTCTACTTGTGTGCTTAGTTATATTAAAATCGGACCAAAACAGTAGGTGGAGTAGCATTTTGAATGAATTCACAGAATTTTCTATTTTTAGTAACCATGTCAACACCGTTCATCGAAATCAAAAACCAATGCACAGAATTATGAATCTTAGTGTAGTTTACTTGTGTGCCAAGTTATATTGAAATCGGACAAAAACTGTTGGAGGAGTAGCATTTTGAAAAAAAAAATTACAGACAGACGGACGGAGGACGGACGCATTACTATTGCATAAGCTCTTCTGGTCTCTGACCAGTAGAGCTAATAAAAATACTGAACTTAGATTATATCTGTCTTTGATGATGTGATATCCATTCCTAAGTTAAAGCTTATATCATTGAATGAGGAAAATTCAAATAGCGAATACATATTGTCATTACTGTGAGCAATAAGACAAATGCGCTTTGTTACAACGCAATTTGAAAAATTTCGCACTTTGAAAAAAATTTCAAATTAGAAAAAAAAATTTAATTTCTTTTCAAAGTGCGTTAATATCGACCATATTAACGCACTTTGAAAAAAATGTAAAGCTTGATCAATATTCTTACAAATAATCGGTTTGATAATTTGATAAATAATTGACCCTGGTTGGATATCTTTTTGGTGGTAAGATCACTTCAGGACCTGTGATATTGACGTTTTAAATATTTTAGGTTTTGATAAATACCGTTATCAAAAATGGGAAATGGGTCTTTAAGAAAAAATAGAGATGATTCTTTCATATCATTTTTTCGTTTCTTTTTAAAAGAAGAAGTTCTAATCTGTAATAAGTAGATGTTGGAAGTGTGTGTGTGTGTGTGGGGGGGGGGGGGGGCTAAAAGTGAACGACTTAAAGCATAGCCATTTATCTTCCGAAAAAGGGGCAATATGATTTTTCAAGACTATGAAAATTCTTTCTCAAACGTTTTACTGTGCTTTAAAATTTCTAGTTTTCATCTGATTTAAGTTAATACAATTATTGATAGTTTTCAACGTCGTACCGGTAATGTAAATACATTTCCATTTTTGGGTAGGTTGAGTTGTTTCCGACGCCTATGTATTGAAAGAGAAAGAGTTAGGCCGAGAGATCTTCTACCAGATAAATAACACTAAAATAGAATCGTTCCAGTACTAAAATCTTTATCCAGAATTTTTGTGTTTACATATTTTTTTTTCAAAGTGCGTTAAATGTCTCCATGGTAAAAAAATATTGATGTAAACTCTTTACGCACTCTGAAATTTTTTTTCAAAATGAGTTGAGTATGTCCAAAATTTCACGCACTTTGAAAAATTTTTTCAAAGTGCGTTGATTTTGTCCCAATTTTTACGCTCTTTGAAATTTTTTTTCAAAGTGCGTAATTTTTTCAAAGTGCGTTGCCACAGCGCTTCTAAACTAATTCTGAAATAGAAAAAAATCTTGAGTATATATGCTTGTATGTACAAACAAGAATAAAGGAGTCAATCTAACTTTAAAAGACGTTGACAAGTTCCCAACTTCTTAATTCCTTAAGAAATACATTTGACAGTATTGCAGCTATTTTATTTTTACTTCTTTGTTAATTAATCTAAGATCGGGCTAATTTAGATTTTTTTATTGAATATTGATTGATTTATTCAGTTGATATATACACATGTGTAGAGAATTCAAGACACAGTACTATGTATAATGACAGATCTGTAGCTCATTTGTCTGAAAAAAAACAAAAATGGATGGTCGGTCTGATAGCTATAGTTTATAACATTTACTAGCTCTTTTTCATGTTATCCGTTCGATTTTTCAGACGAACTAACGATCATAAGTATGACAGAGACTAGTATATTTTCTTACAAACTGAAAAATATGTTTAATTTCTAATTGTATCCATCACCACCAACATACACACACAGACATAGACTTCATCCAGCCTGTTTTATCAGGAGCGTTCATGGTGTCTCGGGAAGTCTGATGTCAATATTGAATACTACGGGACATATAACGTACTATTTAACAGCTGTTTAAGCACAAATACTATACAAAAACTAGAGGTACTGTGAGCGATGAGCTCACTAAATGATACCCCCCGCCTCCATATAGTTATAATGGCAAAGTCCATGTTTTGCTGTGGCCGGAAAACCCAAAATATATGTCAGATCAAAAAGTAAAATAGCAGGTGCACGATGGCAATTTGTAATAAAGATTCTGTGAAAGTCTCATCAAATTTCATTCAGTGGTATGAGAGGAGTTGCGGATAAGAGATGGGTACCCCAAAGCGTAACAGACGGACGGACGGACGGACGGACGGAATTAACGATTACTATATACCCTCCCGCTTTTCAAGCGGGGGTATAAAAAGAACCCGCCGTGTGTACCAATTTCATTTAAACTGACACAGAATGAAATATACTTACTCGTACAAAGCATAATGACCACAAATAGAATTAAAATGTATTTTCCCATGGTCCATTCTTTTTCATTAAATGCGCAATTAACTACAGGTCTTTCTTTTATGTAGATAATTTACAAAAATAATACTATGGATTTCCCAACTTCTTGAAACGTCAGATAAAGTATGAATGGAAGCTTCATGAATAATAATAGCATAACTTTTAATTAACATAAACTCCCGAGGCATTTTTTTTCTTAATGTTTAAATCATAAAGAATCATGTAAACTGCAGGCTATCAAAATAAGGAGCGGATCAAATATATGAAAGTGGGACCTCGGTTTATACGGTCTCTTCCGAAGAACCATTCTCCACGTCCCGCCGTGGGATTCGAACCGCTGACGTTACATTACTTATTATATTCCTACAGATGAATTAGCTACACGGCTTAAAACTAAGGCGTTTGGGAAAGAACACTCAAATTTTGCTATTACAAAAAGAATATATTTATATACATATTAACGTTTGACACAAAATTAGCTCCTTGGTTAAAATAAAATTTTAAACACTTTATTGCAAATATGGAGGACACCACGAACATATTCCAAAAGATAAATTGACTACTATGTAGATTGTGGGAGGAGTTTACGAACCAGGTTTTCATAGAAAAAGTCGATTTTCGAACACCCCCATTGGTCATCCGGGAGAAAAATGAAAATCCCATCTTTATTGCACATTATACCCGTTTTGATTTGAAGTGAAATGTTATTATTAAACGTTTTCGAGAAGCGCTGATTTTCACGGTGGACAGCTTACTTTGACATTTGAAAACCTTCATTATGTACGGTGGTACGGAATTGACAATAGGTAAGAAAACCTAAGAAGTGATTATTATAATATATTGTTTTAGAGCGCTAACATGATTTACTGGTATACAAGAGATGTTTTTGAGGCAGAACATAACTTTAGATAAGGGATAATTATTAATAACTCCTTTTAATCTCATTCTCGGAATGAATCAAATAAGGCAAAAATTTTCCAGATAGAAAACTTCGCAAATTTTGGTCAAAGTGGAAAGGGGAGGGGTTAAGGATAGGGTGTTTGCGTTCTCTTCCCAAACAACTCAGTATGTGCTTTGAAAAGCTAATTGTTATCTTTTCTTTAAAAGTTGAGCTAAATATATATATATATATATATATATATATATATATATATATATATATATATATATATATATATATATATATATATATATATATATATATATACTATATATATATTGCAGTAGAGGTTCCGTATATTGCCCTAGTGTAAAAGTTCAACAAAATCTTTTGTAACTTATATTGAAATGTTACTTGATGTGTTACTCAGCTGGTATATTGCTTATATGAAATATGAAAGCCACAATCCCACCCAGTTAAAGGTTAAAGCTTTTGCAGACAAACAGACCAGCAGACAGACAGACGGACGAACAGGGCAAAAACTATATACCCCCGAAATTTCGTTTGCGGGGGCATAAAATGTATGCTTCATTTTCAGTGAAGTAACATCGCTAAACCAAACATTAAGACTAAACATGTGGCTTAAAAAAATCTTTTATAATCATACCTTTTGAGGTTGTTTTCAATAGGTTTAAAACATTGAAAAATAACATCTCATTTCAAAACATATAAAACACAAAAATTCTAGAGTAAAAACAATAAAACCAACAATTACAGAGAGCCTTAACCTGTACATTTCAATTTTATCTAGCTAGCATAGAATTCAATACTTACAAAGCACAATAACCGCAAATCCAGTTACAATATATTTTGCAATTGAGTCTTCTTTTTCATTAAACTTGCGCAATTAACCCTATCTTCCAGATCAGTCTTTTATTACGTTTGTTTATCATATTATTAAATGGGAATTTCCAACTTCTAAGAGAACGGAATAAGTATAATGGAATTCCTCATGAATATTAATGATATATTTTACTTATTTATTAACAGATACTCCTGAGGCATGTTCTCATGTTAAACGCAACTTATACTCCTAAATCAGTCGTATAAAAATCAGAAATTTGAGAGCAATATATCAAGCGGGTCAAACATCTGACATTTAATAGATTGAAATTTGAAAAACAATTAAATTATTTTTAAGATCACAGACATTTTTGGGAGGAAAAAAAGGTTTCCACCAGTCATACAAAACTTACGAATTCAAAGAACTATATGTGGTATATTGCATACATTTGCCCCCACAAAAGTCAAATTTTGAAAACTTCCTGAAATGTGCTGAATTCAGTAAATTGTATGAGAAATATAAATTAATAGAAAATATCACAGTGTCAAAGCAGTGTATTCACAATTTTTGTTTTTATGACGTCACAAACTAGTCCGATTTTATATCCTTTTTCAGAAAGAGGACAAAATGGACAAAATTTCAACAATTTTAGCTTTAAAATTTATAGAGCGCACGTTTGTTCAGGAACAATATTGACACATTTCATTGATATTATCATTCTACACATTATATCAAAATATTGATCCTGAACACACATGCGCTCGGTGACTTTTACTCAAAATATCGACGAAATATTTTTCTGTAAAACTCATAAAAAACTGAAATTTACGTCTGTTTGTGACGTCATTACGTACATACGGCGTCATTACTTATGAAAATACGAGGGACATTCAATAAATAATGTCAATAGCTCGATGACATACAACATAGAAATCATGTGACATTAAGCTAGACTTTCTCTCATTATTGAATCTTTAATGAATTGATAACAGTTTATGTGACCACTTTTCATCACATAGTTTAATCGTGAGAAGCTGGTAAACAAGGGCTATTCGAGACACTGCGTTATAAATGAATGGTAAAGAATCAGTAAACTTGAGTGAAAATAAAAGCTTCATTAAAGCTGCTGTAAAACGTGTTAAAAATCCCAAAGAAATTTTCACTGAAATATGTGACACTTACAGCAACCAATGCCTGTTTTATAGACAAATAAGCAGGTGGATTTCAATGATAAAAAATTATATAATGGGCATCAAAAATGGGTACCGTCTTCTCCAACACAAATTATAACAACTTATGTAATATTTGCCCAATTTCAACAAATAATATCTGATGATTTATGACTGACTTTAAGACACATAGCAAATTTGATATACATCATATCGGGAGTAGTTTACAATGCTTTTACGAAACGTTTGACGGTAAAAAAAAAAGCTTGGTACTCAAAGATCACCCTATATTTTGAAAAAAGAGTGAAAACGACAGCGTTTAAGAATGTCTTAACAATTATTTTAAAATATCAGTTACTGTAGCTATTCAAGTTTGTTTCATATTCAAAGAGATAATTGAAGATGAATCTATTGGTTAAAACACTCAATACAATATTTACCATAAGATGTACTTGAGCAAGAGGAAAGGTATTCAAGAACACAAACACAGATTTATATGCAATTTTCTTAAATATTAGTGGTAATGTTGTTCAATTTCGTATTAGGGAAGATAATTTAATTTTTGGAGGAGTCTAGAAAGCAATCTTTTTGCAAAAAAATCGAAGGTTTACTAGTATTAGAAGAAGGACCTAGAATCAGGAATCCACTACATGAAATTTCTTCATGACAGCGTCCAAACCCTGCACCCCTGAAGAGTAAAGGGGTTTTCGGGATAAAAAGAAAGTAAATATTTTTTCACTTTAACAATGTTCGATAGATCTTTTACCTTTTGACTTGTTTCTATTTCCAAACTTGAAAAACCACCTTTCAGGAAGAAAAAAACAAGTCCAGGAAATCATTGGATCTGCTATTTTCCAGTATACTAAGGGTCATACCCAAAAATGTGTTCTATATACAATCAGAAATTAGATAAAAACTTTAACGGGCCTCTATTTTAATCACAAGAGATTAATAAGTAAAATCATGAAGATTAAATCATTAAAAAGCGTCTTTTGCTTCTTTCCGAGCCCCGATGACATTATTTATTGAACGTCCCTCGTATTCAGTGCTTTTAAGTCAACATATACCCCCCTGTTTAAGAACTTAGTTAAATAAATCTCCATCAAAGTTTGATTTGGGGGCAAATATTGGTTATAACCGAATAAAGTTCTTTCTTATAAGAAGCGTATAGATTACAAGTTCTTCTGTAGACAAGAGACCTTTAGACTACGCTCACCTTAGGACTCGTGTGTGCATCTAGAGCGTCCCCCCGATGTATTTTGCAGTTATTTAACATTTCGCGTTATTATGTTCCCCAAACGAAGTTGGGGAACATATTGTTTTTACTCTGTTTCTTATTATTAAGGTCTTCCGTCTTCAGCGGAAGACCTTCTTGTTATTCTTCGGTTTCTTTTTCACTTTTTTTCTTCTATATTATTATTCTTTTTTTTCTTACCGATTTTGTGCACGCGATTTCTCGAAAACGGCTCGATGGATTTTAATGAAACTTTCAGGACTTATTTAACATTACTTGAACCTGATACGTATTTTTTGATTTGATGATGTCACTTCCGGTTCGGAGATATTGCCGATTTTATGATCTTTGAAGGGTCAGGTTGTCCGCAGACTTTCTAAGAAATGGTTCTAGATAGAATCATGAAACTTTCAGGCATGAAAGTCCTAAGTCTGTAGATATGCGTAAGGTATTTCATTTTTATCGGAAGTGCCGCACGTCCGCGCTCGCTATGACCCGAAAAATGACATATTTCGAATTTCATCATTTTAACACCTTTTCTACGATATCTTTTTACCTGGAAATAATTTGATTAAACATATAGAACAAAAGAAGTGTAGAATTCCAAGATCTTTCAAATGATATCTCGAAAAAAGGGCTGGCCCCTAAAATTAAGGGCCTAGAGGGGCCGAAAGTTTTTTCTTTATATCTCAAAACGTATAGAGAATTTGTAATACATCAAAGAAGCAAAGTTGTTAAAAATGTCAAGATTTATCTAATGGGGTCGTCAAAATACGTCCGGCGTCGTCACTTCCGGCCAAACCGGAAGTAGTCGGAAAACACGTATTTTTGCCGTTCTAGACAAGTTTTTGGATAATATATGTCTCTGGTATCATAAAAATTAATATTCCGTCCGTCGTCATCACTTCCGGTCAAACCGGAAGTA